TTGTTAGTCCAGTCGGTGGTAATATATAAGGATTAGTAGTATGGCGTAAAATATCATACGTCACTCGCCCAAAATGTGTTTAACGATTTTACCGGACTCGTAAACACATTTGTTCCTAAACACTCTACTTTGTCTCGCATTGAATGACCACACTCGTACGGTAAACACATATTTTCCGGACTGGTAACGTAATTCACTATTCTTGTTGGATAAAAAAATCGGTGGTTTTAATCAGCGTAACAATTCATTCAGTTTAGTTAACCAACTTTATTTAATTTACCTTCTACCGTCTATTTAACAATAACAACAAATTTGGAAGTGCACTGTTCAATGGCGGCTATGGAAACATTGAATGTTGCATATCAAATCAGCTGTTATTGTTGCATTGTTGTTGTTATTGTTCAGCAGTATGTTGACTTTGGATGCACAAGTAAACTACTCGACGTATTGTGTAAAATAGTTTTGTATTGTGTTTCGTTTCTAGTTACATATAAGTGTGTTGATGTCGACTTGGGCCTATATGTTTATCTTTTATTCTACATAAACTTATCCTGATCGTGCTACTCTAATGTAGTAATATGTTTATGCTAGAGAACAAGTCCAAAAGATCGAGATACGTCCACAATAATACTGTTAGTATAATTAATAAAATTGAAAGGTCCATGAGAATTGAAGTTGTATCAATCACTTTTAGAAACTACCGTACAACTATTTTAAATTTTACTTCAAACAAAAAACAATTTCCAGTGGCCGCAGAACTGTAAACTATAAAATCTCATTTCTAAGCAAACATAAATTTCTCTGGAGCGCGATGTATTAGAATAAGAGCATAAATAATTGTAGCGCCACGACCCAAGGGGCGTTGGGGGGGGGGGGGGATTTATATGGCTAGGTCTGGTGAAAACCGGGAAAACAGAAATATTGCAGTTTCCTTTATCGGTGGCCATTCATTGTCATCAGAATGGCTAAACAATTAGCAATACTGTGTAAACTACTGTTACCACGTTTCAAAATTTGAGTTGACAGATTTTTCCATATCAATGAGTATTAAATTCTACCTTTACAAATTTGAAAATTACTCAATATAAAATTTACATTCTGAAAATATGCAATGCCCAGCTTACTAGCATACACTTTAATCCAAAATTTTAGTAGTAGCTAAGCAGCTTAAAATTTGAAGCTTTTTTCATGTCCTGCGATTAAGTAGAAATGTTTATCTCCTAATTTAGGGTTACTAGACGACACCAACGAACCCTAATGTTAGTTTTAACAAGATAAACACGCATTAATATACATATTTTCATTTAGTTTTCATATAACAAAAAATCTATAACGGAGTTTACGTTTCATGTTTAAATGTTTCAATATTCGTGGGGATTTACAAGGACGAGTAATCGTTTGGTTATCAAAATATTATCAAGTGAAAATTGTGTTTGTGTTGGTTTAAATTCAATGAGAGTTTAACTTTTTTACCCGGGGGAATAAAAGAATGATATTTTATTGTAAAACAAATTATATCTTTTGGAAGGATCAATTAATTGCATTCAAATACACCTGTTTAAATGCTTGCGTTGCGGGTCCAAGTAGCATCCGTTTTTAGACCATAGATAGTATAATCAGCTGTTGTCAACTCAGTTGTCAATTTTGATTGTAAACAATCTCATTATATCGAAAGTATGTATCGATTGTAAATCATTGTTGCCATTGTCAATAAGTAGTTCGTCATATTGAAGACTAATGTACACAAATAGACGAAACGATTGAATCACTAAACAACTGATTGTTTCCATTAACAAATTACATTGAAATAAGTAGAAATAGTGAGAGGTTATCTTTAAATTAAAACTTTTAGTTTTGTTCACAAAAAGCAGCAATATGATGAAAAATATAATTTATTGCTCGGGCAAATTGTATTTTCAACCATCGCTCATTTTCCGACCTCGAATTCGCCTCGATCGTAAAACTTGTGCTCGGGTCGAAAAGAGTCATTTTAGGGCCTAGTACACATATCACATTTTTTAAGGTGATTGAAAAAAGTTCGTGTCCAAGAAAACCCCTATATTTTTGGCTCACAAACTTGTGTTAGTGATTCAACTCCTAAATAAATTTTTAATTACAAACTAATTGCTGTCAAACGATGGAGAGGGATTTCTACTTTTTTTAGTAATTATACTTTACTTACTTTAATACTTTTCAATGATATTCTTTTTTAAATCATATGGTCAAAGCTAACAGTTTAGTGTTGAACTGTGTTAGTCTAAGACATTGCTATATGCCCACACGTGCTGTAAGTTGTCATACAATTAGTGTCCCACTTTGGCTTAGCTTCTTGCTAATCAACGTACACAACTAGAGCACTCTCCTATGTCACAAAGGGTAAAACGTCATAAGCCTCGAGGTAATTTAAATTATGAAGCATAGGGTAGCATCTTCATATCACTGTCAAATTGTTTATTTATTACACTTTTTCATAGCAGGGATTTTCTAAGTGTGGTCAGACGTAGGAGAAAATATCAATTCATAGTGATGATGCCCAAACATTTCTATGGATATGGGACAGAAAAAATACCTATTATTATACTATTGTATGAGCAGTATTTGCTTGCATGTATGGATGCTTGCTTGCACAAAGATCTCGATTAAGTCTTCGACGATTTCCATTAAATGTTGTAAATGTATATCTGGCCTAAAACGTGTTTAGGCCAGATATTAAGTTAACTGTTCACAAAAATCTCATTACTTAAAAAATTAAGTCATAATATAATTCGTTAGGGGTTAAGACGGTAACATAAATGATATAATAACAGATTTCTTGAAATAGTAAAGAGTCCAAAGGGAATTTTTCTATAGATTCTCTTCTTTAGGGCAATGCGCTACTAACCATGAACAAATTTCCATTTGAGAAATTTCGGGATATCCTTGAGATTGACTTAATGAACTTGGGTTCATGTTAAAACCATTAATGAAAAACTCATTCATGTAAAAACTACCATCATAATCTCTCGTGGTTTTGAATTTTGGTACAAAAAATTGCTATTAACAGCCAAGAACATCATCCACAGAATAAATAAATACACTCCTTTCGACTTCATTATTCTATGTTAGAGTAAAGAATAAGTTGACGTCTGCAGCATTCTCTTTTGGAAAATCAGACAAATACAATTTCTTGTCCATTTAACAAGAACATTTTGTATAAAGGCACTACAAATTAAAGCATTCTTTTGAAGCCAAGAAAATAGATGAAGTTCAGGACTGCCTAACTAGTGGCATAGACTAACCAACACAAGTAGACTTCTCATCCCATTGTAAATTTTGAAGCACGTTTTTCGTGTCTAGTTCATGTACGTGACACATGGGCGCTAGTGTCGACGAAACTTTGTTTATATTATTTTAGGGTTAATTTCTTGATTTGTGCTTTACTGTTTGGTTATATAACTAGGGGACAGGTTATTGTTTATAATTAGGTCGTATTATTTGGTTAAACGAGGTTTTAAATGGCTGTAATAACGGGAAACAAATTGTAAACAAAACACGACCTCTACAGAAAACCGTACAGAACTAACAATAAAATTGTCTTCAGCTGTTCCATAAGGATGAGAAATCTACTAAGGGAGTATGTTTTATCTATGCTAGTGGGTACAATTAGTAAAATATATGACTATTAATAGTCAATGGTTAAATTTTAATTAAAATCAATGCAGTATCATAGCAAACAGCTGATTGATTTTTCACTTGATACAGAATATTTTCATTAGTTGGTTGACCATTTCAACAGATTGCACCACGTTTTTGGCTTTACATTTTTACATTACTTGGGGTCTATTCTGTGTAGCCTATCCTATAGTCAATGATAGCACACAGTATTGACGATTAACTGTAAACAGCTGTTCATTTATTGTTGTAAATACCTCTTTAGAATGCGTGTAACTTATTGGCTTGCTCGACTTTTAATTTGGAGAATAGTTTTAACACTCATTTTTGGTAATATCATTTTTATTTACTAGTTTAAAATTTACTATTTATTTCCATCTCCAGAGGTAGTTACATATGGACAAAGATTCGGACATTTGCTTAACGAATATGTTATTCTTATCACAATTGCTGATTATTCTTCTCAAAAATATTTGTTCAGTAGATTATTTTTTACCTTAAAAAAGTGGGTATATTTTTACAGTATATAAGTCTAAGTCTAACACATTGTGCCATCTTAGGTACAGATTTGTTTTTGTCTGGTTAAAAAAGATCAATATACAAATAATTGAGGATTTGTATGAAATGATTCATTTGTTAATTAATTTAGAGTTGCATTCCATATGTATTCACCAGTATTGATTTTTTTATCGTCATTGTACATGGCTTATTATATAAGTAAAAATAGATTATGTTACATGTAGGTACGATTCCCTTATAAACTCTTGCCATTGGCAGTCATTTATACACAGCCAAAACTTACTATCCATTGCAATGAAGTCAGCTCCAAAGCAGTCTTCCTCCAAGTAGCACAAATACTTCACTCTATCTTATGATGAATAAAACCCAATTTGTGTTTACCAAAGATTCCACTGTCCCAGTGCTATGACTTCTTCAAAGTTTGTATATTTTTATTGCAACGTGATTTTCTTCATTCAAAACAGCATTAGTGTTTAAAGCAAATACTGTAATTTACCTAAAAAAGCAATAGTGATAAAAGTATTCCTAGCAAATGTTTTACTGAGTTTGAATTTTCAACTATCTGAGCTTTTGATTATACTGAGAAATTATTTGCTATTCAACAATTAGGTTATATTTCCAAAGATTGTAAGTAATTATATCAATAGCATGTTCTCGTAAGAACTAAAGTTAGAAAACATCTAAGTCACAGTATGTCTTTTACTTGAAGAAGTATTGATAATTTGTCAATTTACCGTACCCTTATGTACATTGTTATAACAATCCAAACACCCAAAAACAGGTAAAATGAGAACACAAGAGTATGATACAAATACATTTTAATATTTTCTAGATAAAAATTATTAATATAACTTATTTTCGACATATGGTAGTGAAAAAACATACAATATATTTATATACTTTTTATCTGTAAGAATCGACAAACAAAACATGTATAACACTATTCATAAAACATATATTACCCTAAAAAGACATACTATAAAACGGACACTAGAAAATATATAAGTACATGTTATACATACAAATATAAATGTCATTTGCATATTATGTCATTTATTTGCGATATAGAAAACATTATTAACAGTTTTGGTACGGCCAACGAAACCTCATGTTTGAGAACGAAAGTACCAAAATACATTACGTATAAAATACCCTTTACTCTAAAATACCTATTTTGAAATATTGCATATGGTATGGAAGGCGCCTAAAGGGGGTCTGTATCCAAAATAGCTGCGAACATATCCCTACTCGGGCGTAACGGGTAAATAAATAAATAAAACTTAACACCTAATTGTCAACTAAACAATAAATTTCTAACAATAATATCTACACAAACAATAAATTATGGCGTAATATAAATATATCTTACAGTTTTTTGTTTATGTAACTCATAGTGAACGCCCTTTAGAATATTTTTGCAGCCGAGGGATATGTTTGCTCATTTGAAAATGTACGATACATAAATATATATACTATATTATTTGGGCAATAAGGGGATGTTTCAAAAATAATTTCCTTGACATTTTGTAACTGTTTACTAAAAATGATTGTACAATTTGTATCAAACGTGTTCTGTGGGAAAAGTTTGAAATTTATCAGTTTGATGGGTGATTTAAATCAACATTAATTACGTATGCTTGTTTCTAGAGAGTTATGCTTATAAGTGAATGAAATTCCAACAAGCTTTGACAATATCGATAAGATCCAATTTTTAAAATGCGATGCAAAATTTACCAAAGACATATAACAACTATTTGAAATTAACCATTTCAAACCCACAGAACATCAATGAACATTTTACAATACACCTGAAAATTTGAATAACTGGAATCATCAACAACATACAAAATATTGGTGTTTTGATTATTTTCAGCTTTAAGAAAGAAACGTGACAGGTTAAAACATCAGCTGTTTGCTATAGTTGACCCTTCCGAGGTTCTTTGGTACTTGAAGAGCGACAAGAAAGTAAAGGAGAAAAAAGCGGGGGCCAACTACAGCAAAGAACACACCAACCTTCAAAGCCCCTTCGACCGCCCAGAAACGCCGTTCAAAAAAATACCTTTATTGTGGTTTGAGCAATTTAGTGAAGGTGAGGCATTTTGGCACTACATCCGAACCAAACTCACGAACATGTATCAGTCGTGCTCAGGGTTGTCTTTTGTAACAAAAATAACTTAATTTACGCAGTTCTTCGATAAATTGCTTGTAGTTTTATCAGTTGGCTAGTACACGTATAAAAGTAAAACACAGATTTAAAGGCTATATGAAATGGAAACATAGATAAAACATTCAACAGACATTCCTTGTGCGTGAATCCATGCTGTCGGCGGCGGACCGTGCTTCCCTTAGCGTGTAATATCTCAAAATGTATGGTAAAGCACCAAGAGTAAGTGTAGAAGTGCGCAAGCGTTGTGGTATTATTGTGCGCCGTGTGTGTAAGGCAGGCAGTACGCTACACACTGACGCGCATGTATTGCCTACAACCCATCTGACGGCGCTCTAGCACGCGGCGCACTTCTGATAGGACAAATTTGAACAGGAGGCACGACCGCCGCCGATCCAAAATTCTTATTTCACTGCCCAAAGTTAACAACCGCGTCCGGTACAAGACGACAAACCGATGATATGTGCTGAAAACCATCACATCAATTCATATAAAATAGATATTTAAAATCGACAACATTAAATAACAAAAACACTACACATTTCCTAAATGACAACAAACGATAATGTAAATTCTGCTGAACCGCGCCCGCTGAGGTATTGCACCTTACAAAATCTGTTCGTAATGTTTTCAACACTCGGTACAAAGCTCCGGATTATTGCTGGCGTTAGAATGGTCGGACCGGACAAAGAGCTTCTCGGAAGGGCGTCCTTTCTACTTTTTGAAAAGGGCTCTATATACAAAGCGTTATACCTGCCAGCGTTCGGCTGGAACCACCAGTTCTGGCTCAGTACTTTGTCCTGTTCTGTGAAGTGTCAGACCAAGACGGTGGTCCACGGCTAGCAGTGCCTTTTGTTTTTCTTCCACGAGCTCCGAGATAAAAACCGTAAACAATGTGAGAGGACTATTATAATTATCGCCTTTGTTGGTCTTTGGATAACGAATAGAAAGATCACACGGGGGTATGATGTTTAACACCGGTAGTGAACAAGAGGGTAATAACCTAACAGGCGGTCAAAGCAAACACCGGAGTGTTATGTGGAGTTTTGTAATTAGTAATTTAACTAGGAAAATAGCTGCCGGAAGACGGCATCGTTCGGCGAAGTTTTCAATCCAGAACTCTGTTTCCAGCCGCGGATGAAGCTGGGGGTTCCACGTCAACCAAGGCTGAAGCGGAAAGAAATTCATGACTTCCAAGCGATTTTATAAGGTCACAATTCTCTAGATTGCAACGCCTACAGCTACTTCACTTCTAAATACCCTTCTATTCTAGAATAATGCAAAAGTTTTAAGTTTTATTCGAAACTAGTCACACTGGTTGCTTTACTGTTGTCTGACGATTTTTTAAATTTAGTGAAGCTCTCACGCAATTTCTACAAACAAATGTCATGCTGGAGTTATACAATTGTTAATTCAAGTAGTTGATTAAAACATGATAGACGTGGCCTACAAAGCATTTCACATGACAAATTGTTCGGCACAATAAATTCCTCTCTTTGAAGCTAATTTTGTAGCGAATCACAACAGCAAGATCATCGCTCGCCTGACAACAGCAGTACCAACACCCGAACAGACAATTTGAAAATTTAAGGCAAAAAGAAGCGCCGAGCGTCTCGGTGGTGGGCAAGTCTTTCAAGTACTTCCTTCGTGTTGAGCCCCACTGAGATTTGATTGTCTTAGTTTGTCCGGAAGAACAAACCGAAGCCCACGACTCGAGACGCACGGCTCGGAATACAAATAAACAGACACTAAAACATGCGAAAGAACAGTTCATATATTTTGTAATAATATTATATAATTTGTGAGCAGAGGTGACCGTCACCCCGGCCCTTATTGCTGAGAGAGGTTGGGCGGGGGGTCGGGCACTGTTATAATCTGTTACAATATAAATACTTAAGTAATAATATTTAATGTACAATGTAATAAATTATGTATTTAAGTATTGTAAAACAGCCTCGCCAGTGAGCGAGGGTTATAGTTTCAAACAAAAGGATTTTTCTATTTTTAGTTACTTTTATAAATATATTAATATATTAGGCCCGAACCTATTTTTATCTCTTAGACAAATGTATATATAACAATGTAATCGAGTCATTAACTATATCAGTCGAAAGCTAGCATCTATCCTCAATCCGATCCTTTACATGCGACACCGACAAATGGATACTGTATTGCGACAAAAACACAACGTCAACACAACGTTATTGTGAAAAGATTGCTTTACATCTCTACTGAACCACCGCGGAGGCCACCCCACTGTTGTGAAGGGTAGGGGGGGGGGTTGTGATCTGAGGGGTGGGAGAGAGAGAGAGAGAGAGGACAGGGGGATGTGGGGGGCCTCCCGCAACGACAAGCCATGCACATCTACGCTACACTTTGAGTGCCGAGATATAATAACATGAACAACCAAACAGCGAATTTCATCATACAGTACCGATAAAAGTTTGAAACTTAAAAAGAAACAGGAAGACCGAATTCGAGTCGGAAACCTACAGACATTCCGGGCAACTCTTTCAGGGCCAACATGAGCGTTCTAACAGAAAAAATAGCTTCGTCGTTTCTCTAAATATTTTATATATTTTTAATTTACATCTACTTATATCATATAGTATCGTATAATATATAATAGGATCGTAATAAAATAGAAAAAAAGACTATCGAGTTTTATTACTAATACTCTCCACTCGAATTGTGCATTTGTGGCGTAAACAAAGATAGAGCTATACACGCAGAGGGCGCGCCAAACGGAACAAAAGGTCAACAACACAACTAAACCTATCGCCTATCGAGATAAAAAAATAAATTCTAAGAAACTTTCGTTTATCAAAACTAGAAAACAAAATATATAAGAAAGTAAATATGTAAAACGCTTAAGTCTACTATAATAAAACTTTTCCTAAAATAAGAAATACAACAAAAATATACAGATCATCGAACTTTAATGATTCGAAATAGTCTTTAAAGTGAAAACAAAATTCAACTATGACGAGACCCTGGAAAGGGCGGCTTAACACTAATATTACATAGATATAGAACATTTATAATATTATCAATAATTAATTATTTTTCTTTATATAAAAAGTAAACAAATACTGGAAAAAATATGATCTTTGTTTATATAAAGAGGCAAAAACGCGGCGGAGGGTGGGGCACCGGGGCGAAGTTTCTGGCATTGGAGTCTACCTAACTACGCGGCCGGCGGTGGGACGTCTCACCCTGTATATACTGAACACTAGACACAGACACTTGACTATCACCGGGGACACGTGTCGTACTGTACATCAATCTGGGGCAATGTCTTCGTTGTGGGACAATCGATATGATCGACTGGGAATCAGTGAGATTTGAGTTGTGCAACAATTGTGCAAATGACGAGGGAACCGCTTGGAGCTAAGACCCGGGTGAGACGCCCCGATACTTGACAGGAGCCGCCGAACCGCAAGCAGACGATAACGAAACAAACAGCTACATGGAGAAGCGGAAAACAAAGTCGCGACTACAATAACGAGCCAGGATACACCCGGGGACTAATCTATCGTATAAAACCTGCCTAGGCAGAACACATCTAAATATACAAAAGGTCCTTTAACTTATGGCTACCATATCACAACAACGAAACGAAACTATAGAGGGATATGTCCTGACTAACAGCAGTCTATAACACGAGGAATGCTTAATGAAACGTCCGTATAAAAAGGATTGCATTTGCTCTTATTAAAACCTTGGAACCGCAGAGGTCCGAAGTGGCAGTTTAGAAATCACAGCCTGGTGCCGGTCCCCACCCACCCTCGCACAGAGAGCGGATACTCTACATATTACAGTATTACTTATATCAGCCTCTCATACAGACTGAAGCACCGAGAGTGTCCAAGGGCCTCGCAGGACCCGGTCAGGCGACCGTCCGGTACACAGGGTCTAAAACAGAGATCAAAATAGGAAAACAACTCGTACACTCGACTCAACGTAATAAAAACAACTGAAAACGTTAACATAAAATAACATAATATACAATAAACTCTGTTTGGCGGCGGGCGGGTAGCTTAGGAGGAGTTGAGGATGCGAATGGCCTGAAGTACCGTCTGGTGACACACGGGGCAGGTGGAGTCCGGGCCCGTCGTGAGGCGGGTGGCGCAGTCGTAGCAGAAGAGGTTGTGACCGCAGGGTACCAGAGCGGCGGTTACCTCGCCGATACCGCAGACGTGGCAGTCGCGGTGTTTGCCGATCAGAGAGTCAGTAGGGGAGGCGGAGTGCGGGGGCGAAGGCCTGGCGCTGAACGACCAGATGCTGGAGGAAGCTGTCGCCGTGTCAAAGGATGGGGAGTCTCCGAGACCCTCGTCCCTGTCGAGGCTGGTGCCCCAGATGGAGCCGAGGTCCGCCAGACCGGTGGTACCGGATGCTGAGGAGCTTGAGGACGCGGAGCTACAACCTGAGCTGCCGCTGAGTGTCGAGGGGAACACCACGGTGTCACTGTCCAGACCGTAGCCGAACAGACTGGAGAAGCCGGACTTGTACACGGAGTTGAGCAGGGTGCTGCTGTCGGGGTTGAACAGCGTGTCTTGGAACAGAGAGTCGGGCATACTACCGGCTCCTGTCCTGACTGCGATGTGAGCCTCAATCTCTCTCTTGGCCGCCTCCACACTCTCTGGCAGGCCTGTCACGTCGAACACCGGCTCCTTGTCTCTGGAGGGCGTCACTATGTAGGTGTGCGTCTGGTGTTGGATACGCTTGATCGTCGCCCCCTTGGGTCCGACCACGAGTCCCACAACTCTGTAGGGTACTCGGACCTGGATAGTCACGTGACCGGGAACGTTAGCTGGAGGTCCTGGAGGAGACAGGGAGCCTGATCCTGACAGATTGTTCTTCCTGGAGGCTCTGATCTGGCTGAAGTGTTCGGCGGCTGACAGTATCTCTCTCTTAGCTTTGGCGACGTCTTCCTTTCTCCCGGTGACCACAAAGACTGGCTCCTCTCCTCGCACCGGTGTCTTGATGTAAGTGTTCGTCTTGGCCCGCAGCGCCTTGATCTTGCATCCTGCAACATAACGACAATGCTGTTAGTAAAAAACCTTTTAATTATTTTAAACAATTTTTAATAAACACTTTCTCTCTACTTCGGGTATTGCAAAACGGAAAAATTGAATGTCTATAACCATATACCTAACACTACACCAGTTCTAATGCTAATAATTACTACATACTCAAAAACATTAACAATACCAGAAGGCAATAATGAATCTATTGCTAAACACAAAGCTTTTCTGGCGCGGAGCGGTGATATCAATAAATTAGAGCGTCGCCAAACGATCAGGGCGAGCGGCGCCGAACAAAGAACTGATAATAACAGTGTGCCTTACACAACTCTGGCGTCCGTCGATTTTGGAAAAAATATCCTCAGCCCGAGGACCCGGGAGGGCAAAAAAGTGGAACGGCAGAAGTTGAAGTGGATATTGAAACAAAAGCGACGGCCGGCCTTCGACTTCACCTTGGACGGACTCTGAACCTGGGCCATATATCGCTTTGTAGTCTAGCGTTCTCCGGTTCTCCTCACTCTGGAGCCACAGGAAACTGGGAAGAATGCGCTCTCTCTCCCTCCCCCACCCACCCCTGTCACATTCCGTTAAATAATTTACACAAGTACTCTAACGGTCCGCCAGGGGGTTGAAAAGTTCGTTATTAGTTCGATAGGACGGTAATTGGATCGTTTTTTTACCGGTAGGGTTGAAACGCAACGCTCTAGGCAGGTTGTGTCAGGGGTGTAACGCTTGGTCGTAGCTTTGACTATTAATACATAGTCAATGGTAGTAGTTAGCAGGGATATTTGAATCGTGGGGTTTCTTTAATTTTAAAGAGAATCTTTGAGACTATTTATTTCCTAACACATGCTTTCGTGCATTAAAAAACTAGTCAATAGGTCAGCCATATTTACATTTCCAAATTAATAACAACACTAAACAATTACCACAGTGTACAGTCTAAACACCTACACTGACGTTGCAGTCTGGATCACGACACTCGATCGATTACCTATAATTGTGAAGGCATTGACATTAACCTCGTCCAAGGACTGTTCTCTCACGCGACCAAACTATACAATCGATCTATTCGCCGCAACAATTAGTATTTAAGCTTGTTGCCGCATTATGTCTACAGTTACATCTCAGCCATATGAAAATGCAAACACACCAGATTAAATTTAACAGAGGTCTATATAATTCACAAACGTCAAAAGACGCCCAAGAAAAGTTACAAACGATGAGACAGAGAGTGAGGATGCGTCAGATTGTTCCTCGACCGCAGCGCTACACTGTCAAGGTCATGGTACTTTCACTAGACTACAGAGTATGACAGTGATGTAACGGACGCATCCTCTACATAGAGTAACAAAGCACGGCACCGTATCCTGATAAGCCAAGAACGGATTATCCAATCGTTTGCAAAGATCTCAGTCGCAATCAATATCAAAGTGTACTAAACTGAAGTTACGAACACAATAAAATTGCCACCTGTAGGCCTAATGTTCGATTAATACAGCAAACAAACTTAACCTACAAATATTTATGTTGACACAATAATGACGAACACAAGACACCATGCTCAATTACCTAACAATTTTAATGACCAATGAAACTATACTTTGCTGAAATTTTATATTATATGTCACACTGAATGGTCGATAGAACATACAGTCAATTATGAATGCAATTCGTAAAACCGATGATCGTAATCCGACTCGCTAGTAGTGACTGTGCAAAAATATATCTGGTGTGGATATTTAACAATGACAGTCCATTCAAATATTTGTGTTTACGTACAAGACAAGCCTCAGATACATACAAGATACAATCTATAAATCGTTTCTCCAAGGATGTCCGTCGTCGGTCAGGCGTCTGCTGACTTAATTGTATTACCGCTATTAAATATTACGAGGTTTTTAATACACGAACGTATCCTTCATTCAAAATTCTATGTGCCTTTCTGGTTTGAGGATTTAATCATGTTTAGCTTACCGTATCAATACCCCTTTACTCCTTGTTCATTTTTGTAAACGTATAGAATTAACTTTTTTTGATGTGTATCACAAAATCTATTGCACCATACCAAGTTGAATTCGATCCCAAACAAGTCATCTTACAAAATTTGTATTCCCAAACAAAACATTTGTTAAACGTTATATCCATAGGACGAAAATTAACTAACTAAGGAGTAGAACTAACCCCATCTATTTCGCGAACATACAGAGACTCATGATAAAATATTTCAACAAATATAAGGCAAACGTAAATTTAACTCAAGATTTCTAACTGCCAATCCCATAAAGGGACGTAATCGATACCAAAAGCCCGCGAAACGCTCAACAAAAGCCCGCGTGTCCTCGGAGCAACATTCCGCGTTTTTGGGCGGCTCTTCTATAAAACATGAGGGAGGGTTACGTCACACGAGATAAGATCCAAAACTGGAACAATACCTAACAGGGTCCAGCGTCTACACGGCCTCAACGGGGCGAATTTGAATAATTTATGTGGGACAAGTGTCGTGGTTTCCTGATGTTGAATGGTAGTAAGAGGGGTTTATTTTGTATCAATTTTGTTGCAAATCACACTAAACAAAATGTCGAAAAAAATGCGTAAATTCGAAGCATAGACGAATACACAAGCAAAGCGGTTGATAGGTATAGTCAAATCTAGATGCAAAAATAAATGCGAGAACCAAAATCTTTATACTGCATTACCGACTTAGACGTATTGCTTTTTGTTGAAAATCACACTAAACAAAATGTCCAACAAAAAATTGTCGATAGTTAACTACTTTTGTCTACTGTACGTGGTAATGTGTTTTTCAAATAACACACCAAGTTGTGGGCTTATTTATCAATTAATAGCAAAATACATTTTGTAAAGAATCTGAAACATTAACTAGGGATTGAGACTCACGTTGGTGGACTACAGAGACATTATTCTTTGTTTGGACAGATCGAGAGGCCTTGCCAAAGCCTCCACAATAATTAGGTCCCAGGTGACGAATCGATCAACGCAATCTAGTAGGCCCATTCTACTGGAGGTTTCCTTCTTCTTCTTTGTTAAGATAATAATCCTCATATGGTAGAGCACAACAGGCTTTCAGTAAAGGTGTTGCTTTCATATCTTGCCCAGTTCTGTTGTATTGTTCCACAAAGTCCAGTAGTTTACCAGTTGAAAATTTCAAAACAATTTCAGAATTTGATCAGTATCTCTCTAAATTTATACAATATTAGTCTGGATATTAGAAATGTACACAACAATGCACGTTTTTTGAGTCAAGAGATTTTCCAACACTATTATGGAATCGTTGTAACATAAAGTTGTTAAACAATATAGGTTTATAAAATAATGAAACTCTGCAGACGATTACAACATTATTGGCGCGAAACAACAACGGCCGGACTAAAACTGTATCTAGAGACAGTACAATGCGAGAGTAAAAGTGATCGGCCTGTGGCTGGCTTTAGGCCAAACTGTCAGGCAAATACCGACGACCTTCCATGCACTTGCGGCCAACTTCGGCTAGAGATTCCTGGACCACGCAGATAGGAGTCTGGGTAACATCTTGATGAAAAGACCTGGTGTTACTGAGTCAATTTTGTCAATTAATGCGTTTATAATACTAAGAAAATAACTAGTAGTAGTAGTACTCCTAATAGTGAACTGGAGTCGTCGAAACAAACACAAAATTCATGTCAGGCAGTTGCAAATTACCTAAAGCTAATATGCAGAAAAATGACATCGCAAAAGTCTTGGTATTACAAGTGCACCGACTAATTAAGCATTCAATTCCAGCTTGAAGTAATTTTAAGAGCTGGATTACATACGCAATTACTCGATGTACGAGTTCACATGCAAAGCAAAAACTTAAACGCCACCGTAAACCATTTCGACAACAACTCGCACGAACGAAGCTTGTTTACAAAACACGTGCATTTGGGGAGTGAAAATAGGCCAAGAGGGGCTCAAATTTAAAAGGAAGACGAATATGTGAGCGGTAGGGGAGGGGGGAGGGGTGGCCGTTTTTCTGGGAACCCCGACCCTACGCACTGGCCTTGAAAAATGTCCAAAAATAGATTTGGAGCATCAGGCACATCAGAGGTTCAAGGTTAGAAGACAGCTGCAAGACGGGAAACATGGCGTCTAGGAACAGCTGACTCTTCGGAGTGTTGAGTAACAGAATCTCAGCATCTAGACGACATTGTGTACTTTACACAGTGCATGATATGTAATAATGAGTTAAGTTAATTTTTCTTTTGTGATTTGCAGCTTTTGATTTCTGTTTACGTTTTTTTTCACCTAAGATCGTGATTCTAAATCCCTAAACGTCGTTTTGTACTAATAGTTATGGGAAATAACCTAAATAATCCCTTAAGAACCTAATGCATTTTACATAATCATGTTGTTTAGGGAGACATGAACTAAAGAGTGTTGCACAGCCAAGTATGGACAGTGAGAAACGTGCCAAAAGATTTCGAGAATCACTATATCTATGCAATAATTACGAATAACCTAGAAAACTTTGGTTATTTAGAAAAATAGGTACCGACTTGTGTTTGTTTCCCTACTTAGATAAACATTTATTGACTGATCAATCTCTGTTTATTTTTTAATATAGTACAACAGTTTATAAAGGTTTTATACGCGTTTTCTGTACAAATCCTACTCAATTTGCAACTGTCGAACAGTAGGGTAGTTAGTTGAAAAGGTAAACAACCACAGACCCAAGATAGTAGGGCAGACTGCAGAGTGATTGCATGCAGTGGCAGGCCCGTCCGTGATCAATGAGTGGCAGGCACTCAGTTACCCATATAGCCCAAACAGGTTCGCTTCCACACCACTAGTCGCGCCACCAGCGACTACTTGTGAACACACCGGCTCGAGTGTCTGGACTGGGATACCTGTGAACCGGTGTCGGCGCTTTGTCCCTTAACCAAGGCTGAGTAATTGGGCCGAAAATTTGGGACCGAGGTTCCGCTAAGTTTCGTAATTTCCTGCCGTAGTAGATTTTTAG